GTCAACTAATTTTTGGTGAATTATTGAAATTATTTAATTAATTAATCATTTTATTAAGTTTAGGTTTTATTAAATTGAAGTTTGAATTGATTTCAAATTTTTATAAGTTTATTAAAATTTTATGGATTAATCAAAATTTCAATTAATTTTGTAAATATTTAATTAATTCATTAATTAATAGTTTAATTAAGTTTTTTAATGTTTTTTTTTACTTATTTATATATTTAATAATTTAAGATTAATATTTTATTTGAATTATTATGAGTTGAATTGATTAATTATTAAGTTAATTATGTAAATTTAGTATTAAATTGTGTAATTATGAGTTAATTAATCTCATATAGGTTCTATTTAAATAATTAATGATTTAATTAGATGATTATTAGTTTAATTTATTTTATTAATTGATTGAATTTAAGTGGTTTTTATAATTCCATTAATTTATTAATGAGTTAATTACGCAATTTTATGAGTTAATTAGTGGATTAATGGCATAATTTGGTTATGTTAATTTCGGCCAATGATGAATAAACTAATTTAAGATTTCAGAGCATAGCTCTGAAAAAAACGTGGTTGTTTTGAGGCGTTTGTAGGCGCCTAGGCATCCATTATGGTGCCTATGCGCCATCATGCTAGTATCCAGGCGCTAGTATGTTGGCACCTACTTTTCAGCGCCTTAAAAAATGCTTCGGAATGTAGGTTTGGTGTCTAGGTGTCCGAGACTGGAGCATAGGCGCTGGTCTTGCCCAAAAACCCTAATTTTTACGTAGATCGTCCGACGGAGAGTTTCTTTGATGCATAAGTTACAGGGGGCCAGTAGTGCTGAAATATTTTCTTATAGCTTCAAAAATGTTTATTTTTATTGGCTGCTTACCAAGGGATTCGTTGCCAATGGTCGCCCCAGAACGCGGTGTGGGTTGGGTGTTCTAAACCCAAAATTTCCTACAGCACGTGTAAGAGAGCTTAGTGACTTTCCTTGACCACATGTAATTTAGAATGGGTGCAGAGTGATCTTTGAACGCTGAAATGGACACCGAACATATCACAGGCCCTAAATGAATCCACCTAATGGTGGACTCTCTTGAGCAATGTCGAATCATTGCAAACTCTAGTGTTGTGCCCCGAACACGCGCTAGAAAGTTTCAGATGAGTGTCTTGAGCTGTGATATGTTGCTAGTGAGTAGTAGATCACCTTAAGTCTTTCAAGTAGACACCCAACACCTGTGACATCAAAAATTGATGCCAATACATATATGAAAAAATTCCTTAATATTATGATCATCGTCGCGATGGTAAATGCAATATATTTATGAGTCAAGTAGATGACCCACAACCTTCATAAACATCAATTTATAAAAACATTCTTTGTTTTGGATGGCTTCCATAATCTCATTCATTGAGACTTGCACCAAAGTCTACATATGTAATTAGTGAATGGGTGATGGGGATCTCCTCCACTCAAGGATCAAATCGTCTCTCATCATCTAGAATTTCTCTTTCATTGGACAAGTCTGATGGCCTTGGACACGTGATCTTACCCAAGAAATGAGTTTCACGCTTCTCAAAGTCTGATTTTATCATAAGCCCCTCTAGGTGACTTTCTTCTCCTTTGTTGACTTAACAAAAACTTTTTTTGGTGGATGTGACTCCTAAATCCTCCCACTAATGGCGTGCTCCTTAAATGAAATGTTTTTGTTGGACCATTCTATAAATTGACTAAGGTTTTTGTACATTGTAGATCAAGGGCATAAATGAAGGGCCTTCTATCAACCTTATGGCAAACCTCACATGTGATATTGAAGGTACAAGATCTCTAACCTAAAATATATCCCTCCAAAAAATGAGTGACAAAGGCCTATAGAGATTCCCTTGGTCCTAGTAAATCTGCAATAGAGTTTGCAAACTCTTTTCGTGGCTTTTACGTACTAACAAACCTTATAAAGAAACATGCGTTTGAATTGTGTGAAGGAAGTGATAATGCATTGTGGTAAAGGTGTTTAGGGACTCCCTTGGCTCCAAGCAAATTCATAATAGAGCTAACAAACTTTTACATGGCTTTCACATGTTGGAAAACTTTACAAAAAGTACGGGCATGAAATATGTGTAGGAAGTAATCACTTCTAGTAAAAATTACTCAATCACTTAAGTGTCAATTCCTTCAGAGTCATAAAGAATAAATGACACTTATAAGCATCAATTATTCAAAATAGGCAAACTGTTATTTAAATAAAGTTATATGGTCAAATTAGTCATATCTACCCATTTAAGATTCCAAGAATAAAATTTTAAATCTCTTTTTGGCCTCTGCCTCAGCAATTTCTCTAGACAAGGCATTCTTTAATTAATATTGTCTAGGGGTTTCAAATAGCCTTCTTTCCATTTCATATGCCAAGAAGGATGAACTGACTATTTCGAGTTATAGGGTGAGGTCCTTCTCCCATTAGCAACAAGTACTCTACCTCAGTGCTTTGTTGATTCTATAGGAGTGAGCATTCAATTCCTTAGGACTACCCTTGGCACTTATTCCAATGTCTCTTTTATTATTATGATCATTTTCTCTTTTAGCTTATTCATTTATTATGTCATAGATTATCCGAAACATTCAATATTGCTCTTGATTTCTTAATTACTTGCTCAGCACTTTGTGTGGCTCGTCTTATTATTCATGGCATTATCCATGCTCACAGCATTTTTTAAGATACTAAATCTTGATTTATTCAAAAATCTAAATCACAAAGAAACGAGCTGAAATAAAATGGGTTAATCAAAGGTGTTGGATCATAATTTGTTTGTGAATCCACACCACCAATGAAAGAGCTAAAATATAGAGAGTATTGAGATAAAAGAATAGGGAAAATGTCCAAAAAATAAGCCTTTCAATGTCTGAGCATCCTCTCTTGGTATTGGTCATCACTCTTATTTATAGATGGTTGGTTTATATGTTGCAAATTAAGTTATCATTGCACATAAATTTTGATATAATCATGCTCTATGTCTTCTTCGTAATAAAGGTATTATAATTAATATTATCTTATTAACACCCTACATGGATAATCGTTCATTATAAAATATTTTTTTCTCAAGTATGGCTTTCTAGTAAAACTATTATGAATCAACTTAACCATAGGGCAAATTGATCTAATTGAGTGAGTTGGTATCATTGAAATTCAACAAACTCAATCACAGGGTGAGTTGAGCATCATTGGGGAGTTATCAAGCTACCTCAATCTAGTTGAGTATATGTATGCTCGTCATCATAGGCAAGCTTTTTAGCAATGATTGAGTTACTTTTTTTGAAAGCATCTATTCCACCAAAAGAAAAGTCAATGCAATTACAAAGGGATCTAAGATGAGACAATGGATAAACCATTTCCATGTAGCCAAAAAAAAAAAAAGAAAAAGAAAATGAGGAGGATCAATCTCAACCAAGGTAATGTTCAAGGAAGCGCCAAATTTAGCCAACTAATCAGCAGTTTGATTGCCTTCCCGAAAAACATGAGTCCATCTAGTGGGGTTGTCTTGAAGTAACATCCAAATTCTTCTTAAAATGCATACCATACACCAAGGAATTGTTGATTGACCAATGTTGATGTTTGGTAAAACAAGAGATTCCATCTCAAAATGCCACTTCTAAAAAATTTGATCTATTTGCCACCAAAACAATAGCCAACAATGTAGTAGCTTCTTCATGAAGTGCGGAGGAAGCATTAACACAAGAGACTGAAATTCATTAAGAAATTTTGATTTGATCTAATCTATGGACTTTCCAACCACATTAAGAAATTTTGATTTAAAAGCGAATGATTCTATCGCACACTTTTTCTTCATAATAATTTACCTAACGATTATTAGGAAGAAAATTTAAAAAATAATTGAAATAATTGAAATTCATTGGAAAAAAAAAGAGAAATGAAAGAAAAATAGAAGGATAAACAAAATTATTCAAAAAATAAATTTTAAAATATACGAATTCTATATTCCAATTTTAGAAATGTTCAAAATCAAAATTAGCCACAATTGCATCCATTTACTTCGCAACAATTCAGTTCTTGCAACAAAAAAAAAAAACCCTTCATTTATTTAAGATGCAATTAAATTTATTTTAATGTAGAGCCAAAAATAATCTTTTAGCTCTTCATCCTAATAATATCAAAGAAAAAAAATGGCTTCCGATCAATCAAAATGTGAAGGAAAAAGAATTTCAGGACTAAAAATTCAGTCTCGTAGGCTTTATAACTGAACAAATATTTGAATTAAGTGCACAAAATGGGCTCCGATCAATCAAAATGTGAAGGAAAAAGAATTTCAAGGCTAAAAATTCAGTCTCGTGGGCTTTATAACTGAACAAATATTTGAATTAATTGCACAAAATGTGTATTAAAATGATTCATTCAAAAATAATTTTATTATTCAACAGATATGCTATACATTCAAGTAAATATATTCTTGATACCCGCCCAAATTTGATGAGTATGTGTAACTTTAAAAACAGGACAGCATTAATCAACCCAATAAGTTCAACCATGAACCAATCATTAGACCAATTCAATTTTAAAACCACTTTTACAATTGATGAACTAACAAACCAAGTCAAATTTGATAAATCTACTGGCTCTAATAATGATCAATAAAAGATTTAGGTTAACAATGAAAAAATCATTATGTTCTAATTATTAGAATGATGCTCAAAACATTCAGAAATAGAGTATCCTAATTTAGAAGAATAGACAATAAAATACTAAAAATTTCCTTTTATATTATTAAATTATATTAATAATCTTAATAATCATCCAGTTCGACTCCGATTAAATCCCTAAATTTTGAACCTTTTCCGCTTATTTCTCAATCCTGCATATATATATATACATGCCAACCAAACAGTAGTATGGAAATTTTTTGGTGGTAAAATACAGCGTAAACCCAAACGTGTATTTTAAACCTGGCTGAACATGCGTTAAAAGTGGATGAAAAACAGGCGGCAAGCAAAAGTAAATAAAATGGCATTAACAAATATGTCAATCTGACATTCTGGTTTATCTCGCTCCAGAGAAGATGGCGTTAACAAATGCCTCTGCATCGAATGGTTGAAGATCATCAACACCTTCCCCAACCCCAATAAATTTGACAGGGATTCCTAGTTCATCAACTACGCTGACCTACAATACTCATGTCAGTCATAATAAGTATTAGGAGAAATAAGAGCTCGCTGCATGCTCTGCTCTGTATGGTTCTCTATTAGTAAATACAAGTTCAGTAATGCAGGTTAGAAAAATGATGCGATAAATAATGGTGAGTTTGTGAGCTAGTGCCAGTCGCCTATTAATTCACCCGTTGGTGATATAAATAGGGGCATCGTACATGATTTTGCATGCATATGTGAGCCTTCGAGCAAGGGCATTCAAAGTTCATGTGAGCGAAAGGAAGCTAGAAATTAGAGAAATGAATGTTGGGAATACCACACAACCTCCGCGAGCAGAACCATCAAGCTTCGTCAGGATTAAGCCAGTAACGCCAACAACCTGATAGAAGTTTGGATGAGCTCACAAAAGTCGAGCGAAAAAAATATATATATATTTAAAGAATGATAAACCGAAGTATGACATCTCCACCCATATATGATTCAGCGTCCCTCATCCATGAAATGAAATGACGGCTTAATCACCACCACAGATCTTAAGTTTCCAAATGACAGTATTAGATTTTATAATCCTTTGCACGCAGATCCGTTAGGCATAATAAGTGCAGAAAAAAATTTGAAAATAAAGTAAGTTTTTCAATAACTTGCTGTAAGAAGAGAGATCTGATTAATAAGGATAACTAATTCAATACTAAAAGCAGTGCTGGGAGTGGGTCATTAATTAAGGATGGAAAAAAAGGTAGAGAGGCCAGCTAAAGATGAATTTGCCAACTGTTTTGTTCCCTGGAATTGTGAGTTATAGAGCTTGGCCTAACTTTTCTTGAAAGCTCCTATTTTTTCCTATTTGTGCTGCTGTGAGTAATAACACGCTACAATTCTCGAGGCAGACAATGCAACTGGAAGCACTGCACCTCAAAATAAGCCAAGAGTTCCGGTACCAGTTTGTGCTGTGAAAGTAATGTCAGTAATCAAGCTGATTTGCATGGCAACAAAACTACAAGGGTGCAATTGTTGCCAGGCCTGCCGGATATGAATGGGTAAATAAATGAACCAGATAAGTCACCGTTTCAGAGCTAATAAGGTGATGTATAGAAGAAAACTTATAAGGGTCTTGAGTGAAGTTAATCACAATGCTTCAGGACATGAATTCTGTCCCCGCCTTCACATAAGCAATGGAGCTAATCCTTGTGCTAAGCCATCACTCTGGCTTTCAAGTGGTATAAAGTTCAAACTTTATACATACCCTGCTCATTGTATTTTTCTACTACAATAATCTAATATGAATTATGTCCACGCAACAATCCTGAATGCTGAAAGTTCTAGATAATTGGAATAATTGAACTGAGAACAAAAAAGCAATGGCGATGAGAGACTAGCTTGCAAGAGAACATAGAAATGAAAATAAGAGAGACTCTGCAGCAGTTCAGTTTAAACGGTTTACTTCATTAAATTCTCTAGCTTGCGGTAGCACATTCAAACCACTTGTCCCATCGAGAACGAGTAAGATCTCCTGTGAAATTAACAAATGGAGTTAACTGGCAGCAAATACAAAATCTGAACTATAATTTAAGTCTTTTAAACAAAACAAATACAGACCAGTCCATCTAATCATGTAAAGCAGGTGTTTTGTACAAGAAACAGTTACTAATTGTCCATCCAAGTTGAAAGTAAGTCACATCTTTGCTAGTTGCTCATCTCATGGCCCTTAATGATGATACAAGCAAATTCTTAAATTACTGATAATCATAACCAAACTTTTCTATTCTTTAAAGTAGGGTAATCAGGCTCCCCTTGTTTTGATCATCTTACTTATGGTTCCACGAAGTTTAGTGTGCGGAAAAATGTATTTCATTCTCAAAGGTGGTGAACATTAGGCCAAAGACACCTGGCATGGAAAAAAGACATTACTGGACAATCGTAGCTCACTTGTCCCCCTATTTATTATAGGCCACCAATGCCGAAAGCAAAGGGCAAATGATAAAGAAAGATAACTATTTGATAAAATCATTATAACTTAAGAAAACAGCAAACATAACTTTATGTCTGTGTTAGAAATCCACATGTTTACTTTCATTAGAAGAATCATATCAATTACTGATCCAAGCAAATTTTATTTGATTTCATTAATTGATGTATTTTATTTTATAATTTCAATTATTTTAAACCATGTCTATGAGATGTAGCATTGAAAAAGATTACTTATTTCCTAATATTAGGCAGGCCTATTAAGCCTTGGTATGGGATCAGACTAGTTTGGTTCAATGATAAAACCAGATAGCTATTAGATGGATGCTATTTTCATAGGTAATAATATGTGGATGCTAATTTTATGTTAATTTGTTGAATCTGTGAATCACACTCAAGGAACAAAGCATAAAAAAAGGAGAGAGACAGAGGAGAGAAAAGGAAGATGGGTTGAGCCACACCTTGCTTTGGTCAAGAGGTAAAAAGTTGAGCAGAGATCAGAATCAATTTTACATTTAACCCCTCCCTTATATAGGGGATGATTTCTAAAGAAAGAAATGTGTAAATTATAATGGTGTATGGGCCCTTTTGAGACATCTAGTTGCTTCCCTGGTCACATTGTCATTAAAGCCTAGATTGTCATATAGATTTCCTCTCCAAAGTCAATTTATTATTGGTAGTTCTTGATCTTACATTCATTTCTTTCGTGTTTACATTCGAACCTTTTGTAGTCGCCCCCCTACACTCGGCTATTCGTATTTGGTCGCTTGTACTCGATCATTTACATTCAACCAATGTTATTAGGTCGGTGCTCCCCGAGTCCAGTTGAGTTGGGTTAATCACCTTTGTCATTCTTGCTTGGGCCCGTCTCCTTAGCAGGCCATGGTTGGGAGAAAGGTCCATTTATTTGAGTCTATTTCAGTTGATTTGGAATAACTTCTTTCGATTATATATATTTAGTTCTCGAATTCTCTCGTCTCTTAGAAAGCTATGTCGTAATAAAAAAGAAAGAATTAAATGCATTAACTGATTAACTGATTAATGAATCACATGATGTGGACACTTCCTTGAATTTCGGATTCTAACTCTTATCGATAGAGAGATAAGACATTCGTTGAGTCAGTTTGCATCTCAACAACCATTCCTCGTTCCTTGGATTCGGCCAGTTCCTGCTCATCATGGCAGATCTCAACTGATCAAAACCAACATTCTAGATGAAGAGGTATTGTTTTTTTATTTTATTTTATTTTATTATTTTTTTTTTTTGAAGGTGATGAAGAGGTATTGCGTTATTTTATTTTATTTTATTTTATTTTATTTTTTTTGAAGGTGATGAAGAGGTATTGCAAAGAGGAATTGCGGCCGAAAGAGACATAAGATAGTTGCAAATGGAAGAAAGGAGACTAGCTTTTCGGTCAAGGGGAGCCTCCAGCCGCGAAAGTTGGAACGATTGTTGTAGAGATTGATTCGCCGATAAACAATCCGGCTAAATATCCTCCGTCGCAGTTGATCGTTCAAAAGCTTGTCGTGATATTCGACCTTAAGGACGTGGGTGAACAAGAAAAATCTCCTACAATCACAGAAATCCAATGTTAGTACAGATCAAGCCATAAAGGATGCTTCGAACTTTATAATTTGTTAGAAAATAAATATGTATTACTTTTACTTCAAATTTTTCTTGTAAACCATTTTACTTATAGTGACCTTTGTGACTCCAACTATCACATAGAACAAACTGTCCGACTGAACCTAAACGTGGCTCTGGACGCCCCTATGGGAGGACCTAAGCAGACAACTGAAGCAATCAGTCTACCCTGCGTTGAAAGCGATCTGGCTGTGACGGATGGAGGTGTCACAGGTACGAAGCATGGGGTCAAGGAAAACACATTATGTAGTGGAATTTCCCCCTCCTAAAAAGTTTGGGACTTTGTCGTTGCCTCCTTTCACTGCTACACCTAATATGGTCATGGTTGTGCAAGTAGTTGCCTGCCGCCCCGCCCACTGCTCGCCATCATCTGCCACTGCTCGCCTCTTGTTACCTACCAATCAACAGACTCCGTTATAGCTCGCCACCCCCCGTCTGTCGTTTGAAGCTGTCGTCGCTTGTCGGTCGTCCATTGTCTGCCTGCCTTTCGCCACCGTCGCGGCCCTACCATTGTTTGTCGCCACTGACGTCGTTCAGACATTGTATACACTGCATGCAATCCTTCATCCTTTGTCTCCGCCCTGCAACTGTCCTCACTTGACCTCTGTCGTTGTTGCTCGTCATCCATCGCCGCCCGCCACCCATAACTGCAGCACTTTGTCACCGGTTGTTTGCTACCTCCCTTCACCTACCTCCCCCATGGGGTTGGTCACTGGTGTTAATTGTCGGCCGACGCTATCAGATGACGCCCACCACCCAATAATAATACATTATATATATTTTTTTTGAAATAGATTATTTTTAACGTACTTCAAATCAAACAAAAAAATATAAAGTCATATATTTATTTTACAGTAAACCAAATAACTTTAAAGAATTCCATATAAAATATATTACTTATGTATTATATTCAGTTTATACTGCATTACTTGTTTAGCAAACCGAATAACCATTTAATTCATTGTATTTCCTTGCATTCGAAAGAGTGAAAGAGTCTGCAATAAACTTTAATATTTTCATTAAATATAAGTTTTATTTTGTCACTTCGGTTCCCATGATAACTTGAAAGTTTTATGATATATGGTTCATTATCTTTGATGTCCTGTTTTTTATTTCTTAACCTTAAAGCAGTTACAAATTTCCACTCAGTAAAAGGAGCCACATTGATTATTTCATTCTCACCCACCATTTATCTCTAACATTTTATTCTATGTTATCACCATGTCTCTTCTTTTTAGACTGATCACATATCGTTCATTATAGTTGAATCTTCCGGTCTTTAAAAAATAATCCACAAGCATTTACAGTCGATCAAGCTCAAGTATGTCTTAGAGTCTTCCATTCGTCAGAGTAGCGGAGAAAACAGAATGGGCGTTCTATAAAGAATAGTCTAAACTTGGCCTTTGATTGCCATTTTGCCAAAAGCTGATGGGCATCTTCAACTTCTTTGCATTATTCCAGCTCCAGTGGTGTTGAATTCTTTTGTTGGCATCATGATGTTGGTGATGTATCTTCAGTGCATGAAGATTCCATGATTGACCAAGCTCTTCAAGTTCCTCTTCTCTACGAGGACCTACCAAAGTGAATTAGTCAAATTATCGGGACCAGGATCCCATTCTATGGGTTGAAGAATAAAGTGAAGGATTGAAAGAGGAAGTTTAGCTTGCTTCCTAGAAGAAAACTTGGTAGATCCAGGTGAGACCGATTCGCTTACCTTTGGCAAAGGAGACAGAGAAGCTAACACACCAAGAGCTCAAGCCCGAGTGAAGGAGGTGGAGTTGAATGTATCTAGGAACATAAAAGTTGCCATTATCGAGAAGTTACTAGCCTCGTAAGGGTTTGGGGAGATAATCCAGGATTGAGTGTTGGTAGATGCAGTAGTCGAAGAACCCATCACGAGCTTGGAGAAGCATGGCTGGAGGAAAGAACTAGGCCATGTTGTTGTAGGTATATACCTACATCTTTATTCAATCTCTCTTTCTACCATAGTAATTCAGAAGAAGACGAAGGACAACTTGATTCTCATTCTAAGAGAAATTTTTGAAAGAAAAGAGAAGAGTGAGTAAACCCACTATCTTCAGTAGATACTTTCTAGGTAAGAGGTAGCAAGACCGCTCAGCCCAGAGGGGAAGAGGGCATCTTGAACGCCCGCTGGAGACACAGTCCATCTCCTTACTTTCCCTGGTTGGTTAACGAACAGTCATTGCAGGTGACGAGGAGCTTCAGTCAAAGAAAAAGTGCATAACAAGCTCTCTACAAATCTGCCAGCAAACAAAAAATGTAAGGAGGTTGTCAAGGATTAACCACCTCGAAAGAAGAGGAAGGTGCCAGTCTCCGCCGAGAGGACCACAGTAAAATGGATCCTTCCGAAGAAAAAGGTGATGAATTCATTCAACTGAGTGAAGATGACAGGTACACCCTTACTAACCTTATAAGAGATTTGAGCATCATGTCACCACATGGGGGCAAGGCTCGCCTACTGCTTGGATTCAGTTATCCAGTCATCCACCTTGGTCGGTGTTTTCAATCCCATGGAGAAGGATGATCTGTCGTAGAGGTGATGCGCCTCCAAGTAATTCGGTGGTACGCAACTCATACATTGGAGAGGAAGAAGAGGAATGACACAGAATCTCCCTCAGGAGAGGAAGAAGAGGAAAGTTTTTGATACTAACAAATGACACAGAATCTCCCTCAGGAGAGGAAGAAGAGGAAAGTCTTTGATAGGTTGTCCCTCTCATTGAAGGATGAAATCTTCTTGTTCAAAATGGATTCTCTCATGCCATGCGGTCAGCTAAGTGAGGCTCTAGAGGAGTTTGCCTCATTGTGAATTCAATGCAGAGCCATCGAGGATGAAGTTAGGCAATTGTGAGAGAAGATGGCCACCATGACGTCTTCCGAGG